GAGGTTGAAAATTAGATGTTTTCCAATAAAAATTTCCAAGAAGGACAATAATATTCAAAGAGAGCGAATTTCAATAACCAGGATTTCGTACGAGTCGAATAAAAGACGATTAGTTAAAAAGTAAGTTATTTACTGTCAGTCTACGTTCTTTTCATTATCCTCCTAATTTATGCAGATATATTTTGTTTTCTTCTAAAGATACATCTTCATTTATGACGGAATTTCATCACATTTTTCACCTTCTACAGCACGTAGAAAATATTTATTATTAATGAATAGTATTCCATTAAAAAACCTGAAATCATTCGTTTTAACAATATCGAACTATTTTTACTTGCGTATTGAATCAACATTTAGAATAAAAAGGCGCACGTTTAGTAGTATCAGTCTAGCAATAGGTAGTGTTAATTGTTAGTTGCCTGATGTATTCTATCAAGCTCTCATTTCATTTACTAGCACATTTTGTTATATATTTTTTGTATAAATGCGTTTAAATTTAAGCATAAAACATTTAAACGATTATATAATGGCTATACATTTATGTTAGCCTTTATATAATCGTTATATTGCTAAACTTGTAAGTAGATAATTATACAGTTTAAGGCAATGATTAGTTGCACAACAGAAGTTCCTTTTCCGTGCTATAGATCTCGCACAGCGCAGTGTGGTTTTCACAGCAGTTATTGAAATTATCTGCAAAACCATAAACTTGTAAGTAGATAATTATGCAGTTTTTTAAGGCAATGATTATATGTCCAACAGAAGTTCCTTTCCGTGTTATAGATCTCGAGATGTAATCACAGCTCAGTATGGGTTTCAAAGCAGTTATTGAATTAATCTGCAAAATTATAAACTTGTAAGTAGATAATTATACAGTTTTTAAGGCAATGATTATTTGCCCAACAGAAGTTCCTCTTCCGTGCTATAGATCTCGAGATGTAATCACAGTGCATTGTGGGTTTCAAAGCAAATATTGAATTAATCTGCAAACCTATAGAAGTCACAGTTGTATCATCGATCTAATAGAACACTTTCTGGGTCTTGAATCTGTCAAAGTGAACTTGATGACTTGAAGTTCTTATGAAATGTGACATTTTCATTGTTGGTAAACTAAAAACATTAGAGCCATCTCTACAGGTTTCGGACCGAAAACATACATCTCAAAAACTTATCCATTACTGATGCGGATACGGTAAGAAATTATATGTTTAAACAAATGTTGAGAGAATGTAATCATCATTTTTATGATAAAAATGAAAATAAGAAACATATATTTAAATCTTTAAATCTTTGACCAATTTTGTTTTCATTTTATTTATTATTTGCCTATCTGCTTATAAACATCAAAGCCATTTAAAATTGGATCAAATATTTCGAATATATTAGAACAAAATCTTCGAATTTGGAATTTTTATATGTATTTATTTTATTTTATTAAATATTTCACTTTGGAAATTTTTCATTTGTTATTTTCAAACGCTTTTTATCGGAAAAATGTACGTTGAAATTATCAATTATCAGCAAATGTGACTTTTGCAGAATTAATCTCTGACGGTTTCTTACCCACCTTCTCAAAAACTGTGTTTAACGTTGAATTTAATTCAATTCTAAAATAAATACCTAGAGCTGCTTACGTAAAAAGAATAATTTAATCTGTAGGATAGAAGCCTTCACATTTCTTGTTTATGAAAATAGCTGAAGTTTAATTTTTAACTTTCTTACGCGAGACAACAGAAAACTTCAGGCGGTAAAAGTTTTCGCATCTTTGAAAGCTCATATATATGTCACATTTATTCGGCTCTAAGGCCTGAGAGGCAGGATGGTAGCATTTTCCACATGAGAAGTATTATTCATTTTCTTGTTTTTTTGAAATTCTTAGTTAGCATAACATGTGAATCATTCAGCTCTCCAGTGGATATAATGAGAATCTGTTTCTGAAATGTTTTTTGAAACATTTTTCTGTTTTGAAGTAACTCCTTATTTATTTCCTTGGAGCAGCAGCTTGAAATATTTACCATATTTTATTTGCATTTAACTCTTTCTAGCATTTATATTTTAATGACGAGTTAATTTTATCTCCAGGCGCCTTTAGTGTGTGCGACATAGTTTTTCATAGATAAAAGCAGAGAAGGAAACACTTTTTGCTCATTTGTCTAGGTATGGAACCTAGACCGTGAAAGACATATTAGCGCAGATTTCAGTTATACAAGATATTACTTAATATTTACATTTATATAAAATTTCTAATGCATTTATACAAGAACGCTTGTATTTTATATCTAATTTAAATTTAATTACCTGTGTTTACGTCATTCACTGCATATTTGACGACGTTTCTGTGAACGTAACTATAACTTAAGTTATGCTATAATTTTTGTATTTCTTCTGATTATATTCTTAACACTCTAAAATATTATAAATATCGTATTCATGCAAGAATGATTGCAACCAACAGCGGCTCTATGAATGTATGCTGGTTTAATATTTTAGTTAAAATTTTTGCAGCTTTTTGCGATATGTCACTTTAAAGCTTTATCTGTTTTAGCTTCGTTTATGTTAGAAAACTGAATTCTTGAAGAAGCTGAATGACGAATACTGTAGAAAATAGTCATAAAATTTACTAGATAAAAGTTATAAATGAGTCAAACTTCTTTTAAAACTGAATATATTTTCATATATATTAATTTTTCTAATTAGGTACCTACAAATGTAGATGGATTGCGATAGATAGATCAATAGGTGAGCAGTTTTTTACTTCTATTTGCAGTAAATTAGAGATCTGATTTATTGCAAACGCCAGTTAGTTAGAAAACTCAACTAAGTTACTTGTTTTTAAATATATACTTTTCTGGTCCTTAAAGTTAACGATTTTATAAAGGTACCTTTCTTTTACAAATTTACTTTCAAAAATTATTTTAAAAAATAAAATTAAAGAAAAAATAAACCCAAATTTATATAACTTTTAGAATGTTGACAACTAAATTTTTAGTAATGCATAATATATTCAATGAAAGGACAGAACTTTGAAACAGTATGATGCAGTATAGATAACGTTATTTCGATAATTTCATTTATAAGCTTTAAATTCTTGAGTATCAGTTAAAATTCGAAATTATCGCCTTTAAATTAAGACGATAATAATTTGTTCAATTTCGATTAAAATGGAATTTCAGGTTTAATTAATAAAGAAATATGTTAGTTCATGCATTAGAAACTAAGGTCCATTCGCTTCAAGAAGCATATTTTAATTATTATAAATGTTTTAAAAGTATTAAATGTTTTAGCTTCGTTTATTTTTTATATCTTGCTAAATTAGTAATCAAATTTATTCATTTTTTATACAATTATAATTATTTAAATTATTTTATTTATTTTTAATTTATAATAATTGTTTTAATTTAATTTCATTTTAATAATTTGAGTGTTATTACACAGCACTGAAATGTTATTAAGAAATGACTGAATTATTAGTTCTTCTTTTCGCTCATTTCTGCTTACAATTATGTTACGAAAATAGGTCTTGTCTTTCACAAAACTATAATGTAACTAAAATGCATCAGATTTCTTTATTAGTTTCTTTAGTTTTCTATATATTAACAAGATGATGTTTTTTTTCCGTTTCATAGTTTCGCAATTATATCGAAAAGAAGCAAAACATTAAACGCAACGCCCATTTTTCCAAATGCATAGAAACTCATAAAACACTTGATGTACTCATGCATCCACTCAATTACCCTTTAAAAGAACAAAAATGACGCTTTCTCACTCTCGCCATAAATTTATTTTAAGGCTTAAAAAAAGGGAAACCCTTATCGTGTTTTCCATAAAATATGTTTATGTATATAAACTAAGAAAGATAAAAAAAATATTATGAATTAAAATTGCGCTGATTAATTAGTATTGAAAAAAGAAACAGTTATTACGAATTAAAACCATGATGATTAATTACTAGAGATAATAGTCCTAGAAACAAAATATTACTGTGCCATTATATTTTATCCTGGTTTTAGGATAAAATTTCATATTCTCTCCCATTTCTGCAATACAATCCGATTAACTGTCTCTGCTATAAATAACAGTTTCAATTTATGAATTAACCATGTGTGTTTACATAGCTGAAAATCTACGCATTGGCACATTTGTACTGCACTTACATTTATCAACCACTTAGGATATTTTTTTTAATCTGCTTACTAAGAGGCGGATCTTATTTCCTTGAAGAAGTCCAATTATACTGTAACAGGAAAAAAATTACCGTCGGTAGGCACTATTCTATTAAGAATATATACTCACCTAATGCATTAAAACTTACCAAAGGTTTTTCCAGAGAAGTCTGAAAAGCACTGTTAAATTACACATTTCAGTCATTTTGTCATGCATTTCACTTTGAATCTACTCTTCTAAAACATATATGTAGATATAATTCAAACAAGCACAAAATCTCTTACGTGAAACATTGCTTCATTATAATTTTGTTTTAAAATCACCGCATCTAAAACTATATAAATATTTAAATGTAAAATATTAAATATTAAAAATATTTTGATGTGTTTCATATTCCTTAGACAGTCATATCCTGCATGATTTTATATTTTATACTAAATAGAATTTATTATCTGCTTTAAAAGCAATTAATATATATTTTTCCTCTATTAAAAAAAATATTAGAGTGAAGTAGAAGATATGTAAACAGTTCGAGAATTAAAGTAATTTATTTGCGTTATATCAGTTATTATTAACGTACGTCTTATGATGCATATTACTTATATTTTTTAGCGCGTCTGCATGAATACTCATTGATTGTCAAAAGTTTGGTTGACGTGCAGCAACACGTTGCTGGTTTCTCTGTTTGCCGCAGACCACGCGTTTCACATTTTTAAATCCTAAGGAAAATGTCGGGTAAAATTTCACGTATCGCCCGAATGAAAAACGGAGCGATTCAATGACAGGGACGTCGACAGGAAAAAGTGTGACGACACAAGGTAAAAAAGTTTTCTTACCTCGTAATAAAGAGGCGAAGATGATCCACTCGAGCATGGTCAATCCAGCGGCTCCGACCCCGCGACTGCCGAGAGCCGTGTTTCCGCCTCTGCTTTAACCGCGTCCGCAGCGCCTCCGTTGCCGGTAGAATAGTGTCCGCTCGGGTATCATGAGCGCGGATTTCAATTGATATTTGACAGCAGGCTAATGATTCTTCCGCAGTCGGTGCATTTTCCGCACAATTAAAAGTGCAGGATTGACCGCACTTCATTAATCCGTGGCTAAAAATAAATATTACCTTGTTTTGTCATCAACGAAATTTTTTGTTTTTTGTTTAAAGACTATACATGCTTGAGCTAAACTTTGAAAACGTTTCATTAATGGTGCAGGCAGTATTGTTATAGATGAGGGAACCTTCCGTGTACTGAAATGAAGAGCTTATTTATTTTTCAAAAAATGCTCCTAACGTTATGAGGTGTTTCTCCCGCCTTTCTAGCGAGACTTCTGGTCGGCATGTTCTGCGCGTAATTGAGAAGTCCGCGGTTCGATTCCCGGCGAAGGCGTTGCTAGTTACTATTAAAATTACCCATATAGTAGATAAGCTAATGGACATAGGTCCAGACTTATGCCATGTGTAAATATAACTGGTCAGTATATCAGCTAATTTCAATGTAAATCAGTATCATTCAAGCATAAGTAATCTAGATATGTCTGCGATGTGTGTATATAGTGTAAGCAAGCGGTCCTAATGTATGTATTATTATTATTATTATTATTTATTTTATTTTTATTTTTATTGTGCTAGGTGTATATACTAGCTCTGTCTTATTATTCCAAAGCAAATTAGGTAATGTCATTAGGTATTTAGAAAGTATATGTATGTAACAGTGCTGGATGCATGTCAGCAAATAATTAACAGAAGCATATAAATAACTACTAATGTATATCTTCCCTTGTTTAGCCATGTACATGCTATTTTGAAGATCATAATCACTGGACCCGGGCACTTTGGACGGGTGTCTACCCGGTGGCATTTGGTTCGCGGAACTGCCAACCGGATGGTCCAGGCGTCGGGTTTGGGCGCCTTGTGCAAGCCTCCCATGTGGCCTCTCTGGCTTTACTCTGAATAAGGGCGGACGTGGCCCTATATACTAATTAACGTAATAGTAAAGGGGTGGTGACCACGTCCTCCGTCACTATCACTATCACTATCACTATCTTTCCTGCTTCCAAAAAAAAATAACTAATGTCTCTACAGTGGCGCTCGAACTAAAAAGAGTAATGGATGATGATTCTCCCCATCCAGAATTTGGCGATTGGATCCCCTAAAAACAAAAGTCACCTTTTAAAAAGGGGGATTATATAAGGTATTTCTTCCGCCTTCTTAGCGAGCCTTCGTGGTGTAGTAGTCTGCACGCTCAGCGCGTAATTGAAAGGCCCGGCGATGGCGTTGCATATTTTTCATCTTGCCTACTTCCAAAAATACCTAATGTCTCTACAAAGTAATATGTTGAAATTTAAAGGCTAAAAAATTATTAAAAATCGATAAGTTAGCTCACTTCGAGGACTGAAAAGTATTTTGTTTCGTCATCTAAATTCTATTATGATAACTATAGAAGCAACAAAGATAAATGAAAGCAACAAGATTTCGTATAGCTTTCGAATGTAATCTACTTGCAAAGCGTGAGAAATACAAAACTTAACAGTAAGGCTACATCCACTACGTTCGTATTATGCTCTAGTGGTAATACAGTTAAATTTATTCAAAATGCTTCGAATGGAGAAAAAAGGTATATTTTAAATTGTCACATCTTTTAATTATACCATAGTAGAAGTAGTTCAGTAACTGTAATAAGGCTCAGAGAAAATAGGGAATGATTTCGTTTTTTCTACCCGAACCCTTTGCTTCATTAGATGAAATAAGAGATGTTTCTTTATAATTTGCTTTCACGTTGTTTGAAATTAGCAATGATTTGTTCTAATATTTCATCAAGATATTTGCGAAAGTCTTAGGTTCATAAGTGATCACGTTTTAGAGATATATGCAGAGATTATTTCATGTATGTAACAAATTCACTACATTATGAAATATATTCGGGCACCATTAGGCTTTAGCATAAATAGTTTTATCTTGTAATTTAATAATTAGTCGACTCACGTTTTACTTGTCTGTCAGTGGCAGTGAGTCAAACTATTTTCCGGTACGAATTGACAGGAATCTCTCAACTATTTGTCCTGTAAAGTTGTTGCTAACGATAAAGAGAAGAGACTCATTCTTTAAAGATGAGTTCTATTTTATACTGACAGCAAAGTACTTTTTTTCGAAGATGTTGTGTTTATATTTGCATCTCTGTTCGTAGCTCTTCTTATAGCTGTTCTTGTGATTAAATAATCATTTAATCCATCCCATCTCATAATAAAATAATCATTTAATGAAATAATCATTAATGATCCCATCTCTGAAAATAAACATTTAATGGTCCCATCTGATCGTCTAAACAACAAATCTACACACACCGTACTAAGTAAAAGGATCCGTTTTAACTTATCATAAGAAATAAAGGTCAAATCATAAATGATGCAAATTCCGATGTTTTGATGGTAGAGATGAATTATCCAAAACTGTAAAGGTTGACTTATACACAACAACCTCAGTCCTTAATACAGTCTCAATGAAAAAAAAGGTTGAACTTTTTTGTAGACTTCTAAAACTATATCAGAGCAATATGTGGTGTATGGTGCATAACAATGGCCTTAGCAAAAACATTCTATTTCATGGTACTTTCATTTTAAAATGTACCTAAAATTTCTGAATACGCGCGAATATCAATTACTTAAAAGAACCTAGATTTACATCTGTAATTTTAGAGGTATTAAATTTTCAGTTATAGATACAACTTACTGAAAGTTTAATGTAAATGGCAAGAAAAAAGGAAGAGGAGATTGAAGGTCAAATTCAATAGACCTCATTAGTTTACAAACCATTTTCACTAAGAATTTGGAAGTTTATTGGTAAAGAGTTTATATAATCAACAAATTATTAAGATTTAAACTTTTACTATAACTATTTTTTCGAAAGTCCTCACCGGAATGCAAATTAGTCCTGTAAGTATTTAAACCGAGTGTTTGAATGTCTCAGAGCTATTGACATTCTTGCTTGCAGTTTACGTCCTGTTGCCAGGACTGCCAAAGATTATTTCAACTTTTTGCATTTTGCTACCTGATAACAAAAGCGCGCCGTTAAGTATTTCATCCAGCTTTTAAGGTATTTTCTCTCTCCTTTCCGCATGCCTTCGTGGTGTAACTGGAAGCACACGCGACGCGTATTCGAGAGGTCCAAGGTTCGAGTCCCGGCGAGGGCATTGCACATTTGTCACCTATCCTGCTTCAAAAGGACTTAATGGCTCTACATTTTCAACTGAACTAAAAGGTGGTTGATGATAATTCATCACCACGAAGATTTGGAGATTGGGCCCCATGATTCCCAATCGCCTTTTAAAAGAGGGAGCACATACGGTATTTTATCCCTCTGTTCCTTATGCGTTCGTGATGTAACTGGAAGTACACTAAGCGTATATTCGAGAGGTCCTCGTTTCCGAAAGTACCGGCGAGGACAACGCCGATTATTCAGGTCTCCTTCTTCAAAATAACCTAATGACTCTACAAGCTCAAGTAAACAATTTTGTGTAATATCCGATTACGAAAGTTAAATTTAAATTTCATATGAATATCCGCAGGTGGCGGAGTTTTATTTTGTAAGCATAAGTGATGCATTCTGCTAAATTTAAAGAGTTATTAAAAGGGTTAATTCAACATTCGTAGGACTTTGTTATGGTAACTCAGACTTAACTCAGACTGTTAATCTAGGGTCTAGAGGAGACTGACTTAAACTTCTACACATTTAGGACCGTAAATATTAATATCTTCTGAAAATGTGAACCTTACTTCCGATTATTTCTTCCTATTTATATATGCAAAGTTAGTTGTTGTTTCAGCACAAAAGAAAATATTTGCTTCGAGGGTTCCTATTATCTAAAGTAAATTAATAAAATCATCAATAGGTGTAAAGTATCTCTACCCCCTCTAAAGAAAAATATCGAGACAAATTTTGAAGAAAATGCAGTTTCGGAAAAGATGAATCTAAACGCAAAGCAAAAACATTCATCACTTGACAAGACATTAACGAATTGTTTTTCAAGCCATAATGACAAATTAACTGAAAATAAATATTAAAAAAAGGAACTGCATTTTATCGTTTTGTCTAATTCAAAATTTACCAGATTTCATCTATGGATTAGGCCTAAGGTTGCAAGTATTTAACTATTTTTACGTTTGTTCCAGTCTTTCTCGAGTTGCCATGAGTGTGATTTTCATTTGAAGACGTTTCCCAATTTTAACACTAATTATTGAAGTCATTTTATTAAATTTTATATAGATGGAAGATCATAAAAGTAACAAAGAAAATTAAGCTTATGCCTCTCAGTAATGTCCATTTTTGCAGTCCACTACTTTTATTTTTCACAATTGTTGATTTTCCGCTTCCATAAATGTGTAATTTCTCCACTGGTTGTTTTAATCTTGTTTTCCGCTAATTTTTCATTTTTCCTACTTAAATTCTAAGATATATTTGGTTTATATTTGGCATATTTATAGAAGATATTTTTGATTTTCGCAAAACTACATTTTCTTTTATATGTTTGTCTAGTTTTATTTTTCTAGTATTTGAAGTAATGGGTAATTTGATTCGCAGTATTAGGTCGTCTACTTTTGATGAGAATGAAATATTCAAACTAACAATTTCAAATCTTTTACTCAAGAAGCTTACCTTTTTTTTAGTATTATTATTATTTAGTCTAATACATCTTGATGCGACTTAAAAAATCTATTGTTATTTTTTAATTTCAACTTAATAAATATGGTATGTATATATAAAGTTGATTAAACAAAAGAGAACAATTAATATATATAATATATATATATATATATATATATATTAACACATCTATACATATGCGTAATTATTTCGTAAACACACCACAT